TTCAAGATTAAAAACAACAACTTTAGCCTGATCCTCAGACCTCCTAGGCCAGCTGGGGTAATTGGCCATCAAAACAATTAAGCTCTTTCTGACCATTCACCCAGGGCCTCTCCCACTGTAGAGAGAGAAACTAAGCAGAACTCATGGGCCTGCTAGGAAGCAGCCCTGTCTGTGCCATGGCTGTGGGGGCTGCCTAAGCTGCAGAAAGAGCACTACCAAGAGCTTCTGCAATGCAGAGCAGTCCAATTTGCCCATCAGACAGTCTCTCTCCACAATCTTTTCATGCAGCTCATACCGCTGGCGAGCTGTGGTGTGCAGGGGTCAGACTGCAGCCAGTCCAGCAGAATCCAACCCACAGCTCACTGGCTGTGTGACTCGTCACTGGAACCTCTCTGCGCCTCAATTCCTTCCTCCGAAAAGTGGCAGCTATAACAGCTCCCAAGGCTTACAGTTTTCACGAGGATTAAAAGGTTTTAAATTATTATAATGCTCAGGGCAATGCCTGGCTATAAACATTATGCAAGTGCTTGCTAAATAATCTTTAATCATATTTATTTGTATGAATGTGTATGCGTGTATTTGGAGTATTTCTAGGAAATTTCTAGAGACTGGAGAAATAAAAATAAACAAGGTGTAGCCCTTTCCTTTGAGAGAATTCGTTTATTTATTAGATGCACTGGTTTTAACAGCTCTAGGAGAGGTATTGGCAAAGTGCTGGCAGAACATAGAGGAGGGAGGATGGACTCCACCAAGACTCCTCAACAGGAAAGGATCCACACAGCTGACATGTGTAATTGAGTAGGATTCGGGCGCACAGGGAGGTTCTCAACCAGTCTTTGCATTTAAATCACCTGGGAGGTTAAAACCCCGATTCCTCAGCTCCACCTCCAAAGTTTTTAATTCAGGAGGTCTGAGTGGGACCTGAAAATCTGCATTTCTAATAAGTTTCCCAGGGGCTGCTGCTGCTGGTCCCAACACCCACTTCAATAATAGGGACTGCCTTTCAGAATCAGAGAGGAGCAGGTGCCCAGATGCAGGAATCTGAAACAACCTGTCTTTCTTGGGGCAGAAAATAGTCTGTGTGATTGGATCAGGGAAGTGATGAGAAATGGCAAAAGATGAGGTGGGCAAAGGAGGCCCAAGATGATCCGAGAGCAAAGACACTTGGAGCGAATCCTGTATACATGGAGGAGCTTTGGGAATTCATATTTCCAAAAGCATCACTTCGGCATCAGTATGGGAAATGGACTGGAACAGAGGGAGAGTAGAGGAAGGGAGAGCAGTTTCTCTTTGCTAAAAATTCGAGAAACATCGATGTCTGTAAATGTTGGAATACTTGGTGGTATTCTAAGTATATATCTTTGTAACATCTTTAACACCAGGACAGTGAATGAGAGCAATGGCCTGCATTTTTTCATCTAATTTTGACATGTGTGTTATTATTAATCTATCTGGTGTTATGATTTTTAGGACCTATCTTTGCAAAAATAAAACACCCTATAGGTGCTTCATCCATGGATCTAAAGAAGTATTTTATGTCCTACCTTAGCCGGCTTGGCTCAGTGGATAGAGCATCGGCCCATGGACTGCAAGGTCCCAGGTTCAATTCTGGTCAAGGGCATGTATCTTGGTTGCAGACTCAAACGCCAGCCCTGGCCTAGGGTATTCAAGAGGCAACCATTCGAAGAGTCTCACATCGATGTTTCTCTCTGTGTCTCTCTCCCCCTTTCACTCTCTCTAAACATCAAATGGAAAAATATCCTTGGGTGGATTAACAAAACAAAACAAAGCAAAAAAAGCATTTTATGTCCTGAAGTAAATAGAAATGAATAGTTATCCGTCTTTCTCCTTGAGCCATTTTATTAAGGACTTAATCATTCCTTGGCTTTTCTGGGGATCTTGCCATCTGTGAATGGCTCATTGTTACTTTCTGGATCCATTGTAACTCTTGGAGTCTTTGAGAAACATGCACTGCCAGCTGATGATAGCCAGAAGATGACTGCATGTTGGAAAAGCATCATGGCTCAAAATACAGTATTCATGCTTTAATAATATTGAACGTTTATCCGTCGGTCTCAAATGTACCCACTACATTTAGAATATAGCTGCTTTCCTTAATCAAAGACACGGCTTTTCTAAGTGATAGGCAAGAAGGTCTCCTTAGAGACGTTCTGAAATCTGAAGTAATGCCAGAAGACACTGCTGCTACAACTAACACAGGTGGTTAAAACCGAAACTACCTTTTATCAAAAGCATTTGGTAACTTAAAATATGCATAGCAAAAGACTATAATAGTGGTGATTTTTAAAAAAATATATTTTATTGGTTTTTTTACAGAGAGTAAGGGAGAGGAATAGAGAGCTAGAAACATCAATGAGAGAGAAACATTGACCAGATGCCTCCTGCACATCCCCCATTAGGGATGTGCCTGCAACCAATGTACATGCCCTTGACCGGAATCAAACCTGGGACCTTTAAATTCACAGGCCAATGCTCTATCCACTGAGCCAAACCAGTTTCAGCTATAGCAAGCATTCTTTTTTTTTTTTAACCTACTTTTGCCCACCTTGGATTTTTTTTTTAAATATATTTTATTGATTTTTTTACAGAGAGGAAAGGAGAGAGACAGAGAGCTAGAAACATTGATGAGAGAGAAATATCGACCAGCTGCCTCTTGCATACCCCCTACCGGGGATGTGCTCGCAACCAATGTACATGCCCCTGACCGACACTACCACTGAGCCAAACCAGTTTCGGCTATAGCAAGCATTCTTAGGCAGGAATATCTACCTAACATTTCTTAGGATTGCTGGTTTTGGCTAGTGGTGATTTTTATGAATTTCTCTATTTCATGTACTCTTAAAAATAAACCAAAATTAAAAATAAAAAAAAATTAAAATTAAAATTAAAAAAATAAATTAAAAAAAGGCCAGAGCAAAAATCATGAGGCCAGAACTGATACAGGTGCAGTGAAATAAGAAGAAAGGATCAGGTAACTCTTAGGGCACAGAACTGAGCAGATACTCAGAGGCCTGTAGAGGATGTGAGGGAGATGAAAGGGTTAAAGGTCAATCAGGCTGACCAGATCTGATGCCAGGATGGAGGAGGTCCCATCAACTGAAAAGGGAATGCAGGGGATGGAAGAGATTTGGGGGAGAAGAGACCATCACCAATTCCACTTGCAAGGATTCTAAGGTATCCAAGATGTCCACGAGGCAGCTAGACATTCAGATCTGGAGCTAAGCACAGAAGTGAGCAGTAGATGGAGAGCTGGGCACCCCTGTATGCAGGTCCAGGTTAGAATCAAGCTGTGGAAAGGAAGGCTAAGGAAAGAGCCAGGACATATACTGATTCACCTTTCTTACATGGGCTCAGTGATTAAAAGCAAGCAGGGAGACAGGCAGAAGATTTTACAGCGTGCCTTGCCGGAGGAGCACTGTCATCAGTCCAGCATCATAAACTTCTCCCACCTCACCAGGATTGGAGGGAAGGTGCTTGTGCTGGTCTTTGTCATTCTCAAGTCCATTGACAGCTTTTCCTGATTAAGACTGACCCCTGCAAATTACATTTCTCAGGCCCCTTTGCCAACTGGTTTCTGCCAAAGAGAAGCTCCAACAGAATACAGGGAGGAGGAAGGTAGGAAAATCCAGATTATTCCTCTCTCTTTTCCTGCTCCTGCCCCTACCCCATCTGTGACCTGTGCTTCTGCTCCCCCCAGGTACCCAGCTCCTGGGATCGGGGGAACATTCCCCTTCTACTCCCTCCAGCTTGGCTGAGTGGAAAGGAGCAGCTATTGCTGCTAATCTCTATGTTGACTCACTAGCCGATTTAGCTTTTCAGCTCTTCCAATAGCTCATAGCTAGTTCCCCTACAAATTTCTTCTGTTGAAACTAGCTGGCACAGTTGAACCAGTTGGTCCCTGACTGGTAAACATATAATGATAATACACTGAGTGGCCAGATTATTATGATTGCTAAACGAATAATAATCTGGCCACTCAGTGTATATTCTATATAATAAAAGGTTAATATGCAAATTGTCCCCTCAACCAGGAGTTCAACCAGGAGGCAGACCAACCAACCATATCTCCTCCCCTTGGCCAGGCTGGGCAGACCCCACCCATGCACAAATTCATGCACCAGGGCCTCTAATACACACACACACACACACACACACACACACACACACACATACTGAATGGCCAGATTATTACACGGTCAGAGATCATAATAATCTGGCCACTCAGTGTATATCAGTTTCTCTCTCTCCCCACAACTTGTTTCAAGATTCAGAATTGTATTCAGACTGGGATTATCCAAGTTCATATTCACCAAGCCTTCTATAATATTTAAAAGTGAAGGGAAAATTAATTTTAAAAGAGGCAGTAAATAAAGATAAAAGCTGAAATAAATTGTAAAACATAAGGCAGTAGAATAATAAATTAGTTCAAATGCTGTTTTTTATAAGGCTGCTAAAGTAAACAAACCTCTGACAAATATAATTAAAGAAAGATTTTTAATTAAAAATGAGAATAGAGATAGGACAAAATAGAGAAAATAGATATTTTTCCTCCAAATCCAAAGAGAATGTGGCACACATTTGTAGGCTAATAAACTGAAATCCTCAAGGAAATGAATAATTTCTAGAATGATATCGTGTACTAAAAAGGACTCAAAATGTGTAAATCCAAACAGAATAATGACCAAGAAAGAAATTGAGGACATTTCTGATAACCTAAGGAAAAAGCAGCTTGTCCCAATGTTTGCACCAGAATAATCTTCATACTTTTAAGGAACAGCTGATTTTGATGTTGTATAAAACATCCAGAGTGCAAAAAGATATCAGAGTACCTTTATGGTCATTAAGCAAGCATGATCTTCTTCCTAAAGCCTGATAAAGATAAAACACACAAAAAGAAAATTACGAGCACATATCACAAATTAATGTGGATAGAAAAAGCTTAAGTAAAATCCTCACCTCTAAAAAGGAACTTGTTTTACTGTGCTGCTTCAGATCTTTAGAGGAAAGATACGTTTCTGTAACAGCTTTACTGAGATAGAATCCCTGCACCATAAAAAATATGGAACACTTTACGAATGTGTGTGTCATCCTTGCACAGGGGCCAGGCTAATCTTCTCTGTATCGTTCCAATTTTAGTATATGTGCTGCTAAAGCCAGCCCAAGGATGATAACTTTAGAAGTTGAAATTCCAAAGGATGGACAGTTTGCACATTATAGAGATAAATAACCATTTGACAAGACCAGAATCCAAGGGAAAATATAATATGGAGGAAGCTTTCCCAGCCAATATAAAAAGGGTTCATTTCTATGGTATGTAAAGATTTTATACATGTTGACACCAAAAAAATTAAGTTCCCAATTTTTAAAGTTGCAAAGCATGTAAGCAGATAATTCATGAAACCAGTGGTAAACAAGCATGCTTGCAATGAAAGAAATGCCTGCTCATATAATGTTGTAGCACTTTACACCCACCACATTAGAGGATTAAAAGTCATCCAGTATTACAACACTGTGGTAAAAGTAGTACACTCACACACGGTAGGGTAGCCATATAAACTGGTATCATCTTTTAGCAATTCATATCAGGTATGATCTTAAAATTCTACAATATCCCTTTATCCTAAGGAATTTATAAATGATGAAAATTAAAACCACATAAAATGTTCATTGCAGTATCCCTCTAAAAACCTAAATAAATATATATAAGATTATCTAAATCTAATAACAAGGAAATTATTTAGGAAGGGTTATGAATCATTGTTTAAAAATTACAATTTATCAAGCACCCTTTTATACTTAACTTGGCCTTCCCAGGAGGTAGATAAGAATTGCTAAGAATCAGAAAAATTAAGTGGCTTACAAAAAATCACACAATCAGTGGCTCTCAAATACTTCCTACCAAATCCCAGGCTACCTTGATGTTGAAGATGTGATTGTGAGTTGTTTCCTTGAGCCTCTATTTATAAAACAGAGCTAGTAAGAGCACCTGAGGATGGTTATGAGGACTAAATGAAGCTCTTCACACAGGACATGGCACACAGCAGCTCTCAGAAAATTATTGAGAATAATGGTAAGACAGTGTTGTATCCATTCAATGCGACTACAGCAATGTAAACACGTCTGTAAGTGGACAAGGCTCAGAAGAGAAAGAAATAATGAGAATAGCTGCTGTACGAGCAAGGCAAGAGCATAAATCACTTTTCTTTTTGATATTACTTCGTTTTTAGTACAAGTAGAAATCTAGAGAAAAACAAAATGAGAATAAACAAACAAAAAAATCTTCCTAAAATGGACTGGCATCTTTAAGGGAGCTTAATACCAACTTGAAATAATTAATTCAGCACATATGCCCCCTGGAGATGCTGTGTGGTGTGTAGGACCAGCCAGCGGATGGGGCTTTTTCACTTGCCCAATGGATAGAAGAGGTATTTATTGGCCTAAATAATATACTAGAGCAAAATAAGCCAGTGACAGAAAGATAAGTATCACATTATCTCACTCATACGTGGAATCTAATGAACAAATTACATCCAGAGACAGAGACGCATGGAACAGACTGTCAAATCTCAGAGGAAAGGTGGGATGGCTGGGCATGGGGATGGGGAGGGGCAGGGGATGGCTAGAAAGGGTCAATGGAGAAAAAATGGGGACATATATAATACGTTCAATAATAAAGATTTTTTAATTATAATATACTAGTGCTCGTTTTTCAGTTTTCCTTAAAGATGATTTCTTTTTCTTCTTAAAACTGAGACTCAGAAGCATCTCAAGCAAATCTCCAGGTAGTTGAGGACTGGGTCCAAGTTCATTCCTGATGACCCAACATCCCAAGGGGGCTGCTCTTCGGTGAGCACCACCATCTCTAGGACCAAGGAGAATGTGTTTACTTTTCCCTTTGGTCATGTGACTAGAATCTACTAATCAATGAGCAGGAAAGACAGCCAGTGTCAGGCCTGGATTTTAAATCTACAATTCGGGAACAATTCTAACCATCAGAGACAGGTTCCGAGAAATGAGAGAAAGAGCTATAGGCATCTCTTGGTTTTTCCTTTCCTAAAGTCAGCCAGGCCTGAAAATCTCCACCCACGGCAGGGGCGTTGATGGAAAGTTACTCCACTCTCACCTCCCGGATTGTCACAGGTTTGAATCGTGAACAACTGCCTACATGAGTCAGAACGTGTGCGATTAGTCTGTGAGCTCCAATAAAAGAAGTGACAAACTCAGCAAAGGATATAAATTCAGAAGATAAATGTCAGGGGATGACACAGAACCTAGCATGACCAGAGGCTGAATCACACTGAGCTCAAACTCATAGTCCAAATACCACTCCACCTGGGATGTCAAATAGGCATCTCAAATTTTATGTGTCAAACACAAAGCTCCAGGTCTTTGCCCTCACCTGCCCTCACCACTGATAACCTCCCGTCTTGAATAATAGCAATGCCCTGCTGCTCAGCTGGAGTCTCTCTGACTCCTCTCTCCCTCTCACATCCCACATGTAATCCATCAGAAAATGAGCTGTATCTGCAAGATATACCCAAATTCCTCCTCTTCTCATCACCTCCGCTATCACCATCCCAGTCCAAAGCATCACTATTCTCTTGCCTGTCTTCTTATTGTAGCTTCTTAACTGATCTCCCCACCTCCACCTTGGCCCTCCATTGACTCTTTTCAACACAGCAGCCAGAGGTATCCTCCTAACCAAAGTGGGATAACACCTTAAAAGAACAAATCCATAAAAGAACTACCATATTTTTCGGACCTTAAGACGCACTTTTTTCCCCCAGAAGTGGGGGGAAAAAGTCCCTGCGTCTTATGGTCCAAATATAGCCTACACATATACTTTAAAAAAAAAGTTTTTTTACTTGCCCGGCTCTGTGTGGTCTCTGTGTGCTTGCCCGGCTCTAAAATGGTTCTAAATGCTGCTGTTTACTTTACAGGGTTGATTACATGTGTTTATGACTGTGATGTTGGGTTTTAATGCACATAAAATATTTTAGGACACTATTTGTTTCAGAATCTTTTTTTCTTCATTTCCCTTCTCTAAAAACTGGTGCGTCTTATGGTCCGGAGCGTCTTATGGTCCGAAAAATATGGTAATAGACTGGATTTCACCAAAATTAAAAATCTACTGTTCAAAAAATATTGTTAAAATAATTATAGCAACTACAAGAAGCCACAGACCAGGAGAAAAATGTCTGCAAGGCATATATCTAACAAAGGACTTCTATTCAGAAAATGTAAAGAACTCTCAAAATTCAACAATGAGCCCTGACCACGGTTTGGCTCAGTGGATAGAGCACATGTGTCAAACACAAGGCCCGCGGGCCAAATCCGTCCTGCCAGGCCTTGCAATGTGGCCCGCACCGCGCTGTCATCACTGCACTCCGCTGCGTTTCCATCACAATGACAGTTTATGACTGTTCAGTAAACCATTCGGCCCGAGATTTAGGCTGGATTTTAGATTTTGGCCCCTTCTCTGATTGAGTTCGACACCCCTAGGATAGAGCGTGGGCCTACGGACTCAAGGGTCCCAGATTCAATTCCAGTCAAGGGCATTTACCTTGGTTGCGGGCACATCCCCAGAGGGGGGTGTGCAGGAGGGAGCTGATTTATGTTTCTCTCTCTCATTAATGTTTCTGACTCTCTATCTCTCTCCCTTCCTCTTTCTGTTAAAAAAAAATCAAAAAATGAGAAAATAATCTAATTTAAAATCTAGGAAATGACTTAAACAGATATTTCACACACAAAAATACATATATGTAGATGAAAAATAAACATGAAAAGATGCTGAACATGAATAGACATTAGAGAAATGGAAATTAAAAGCACAATAAGATATCACTACCTACCTATTAGAAATACTAAAATTATAATAACTGGTCATGCCATATGTTGGCTACGATGTAGATCTACTGGGTTCCAAAACTGGCAGCACAAATGTAAAATGGTACAACCACATTGGGAAAGAGCTTGGCAATTTCTTTAAAAGTTAGACCTATACACACCATATAATATTACCATTACACGCCCAAGTATTTACCCAAGAGAATAAAGGTATACGCCCATACAAAGATTTATACAGTAATGTTCATAGCAGCTTTATTTTTAATAGCTAAAAACTAGAAACATCTAGAGAAATTGCATACACTCAAATTGTGATACACTCAAACAATGGAATACTGATACAGCATGGATAAGTCTCAAAATAATTATGCTGTGGGAAAGAATGGATTCCTATCCCTTAGTTACTCCAAACATTCCATGGCTTTCCAGCTCATTCAGAGAAAAAGCCAAAGTTCTTGGAATGAGCTATAAGGCCCTACATGGTCTGGCCCTGAAACTCCCATTTCTCTCCCCTCACCCCACTCCACATGGCCTCCTTGCTATTCTCAGACACACCAGGTACACTCCTGGGGATTTCAACATCCTGCCTGCTTATTCTGAAAGCTTTTCGCCAGGTTACTTCATGGCTCACCTCCTCACCTCTTTCAAGTCTTTGCTCAAATGTCACCCTCTCAGTGGGGCCTTCCCTAACATGGTATTTAAAACTAAAACACTTCCTCACCCTGTAAGACCCCCAATCCCCCTGATGCTTTATCTTCCTGTATAACAATTATCACTGTCTCCTATACCACATTTTCTTATTTACCTGTGTTTCTACCCTCTAGAATTAAACTCAGAAAGACAGGAACCTTCTATTGTTTTTGTTTATTAATTATACCCCCCAGTAACTGGTACAGTGCCTGGCAAATAGTAGGTGCTTGGCAAAAATTTGTTGGATGAATGAATGAATGAGTAAATGAAGAGAAAAAGGAATATTATCTGATCTTAACAATCAAGTGTAAAGATTCTTTATGAAGTCACCCCAGCCCGGCCTAGATAGCTGGGCATCTGTCAAGCTTTATTGTCTAAAAAGCTCTTTGTTCAGATTCCATCCTTTTCAGGCCTCACAAAAGTACTCTGATATGATGCCATTGTCATTCCTTTTCTACAAGCGACTGGAGGCTCAGAAAGGTTATGTTTTTCTAGATCAAGGGACCACAAACAACAGAGCCAGCATTTAAACCAAGAATTTGCCGTCAGCCACCAAAGCTCACAATGCAACCCCGAGCATCTAAATTTTTCAACTTTCATATCCTTTCATTTCACTC